GCCATTATCAAGTTTGAAAGAAATAAAACGGTTGTTTGAAAGAATAATGAATTGAAGTGCTAACAACACATAACTCTTGTTTTTAAATTTATTTACTCATAAACTTACTGAAAAGTTGTGCTTACTATAAGATGTTTTTCCTGGAACCATTAAGAGTTACTTGCCCACCTGATATCTCATTAAAACCTTCCTGTGTATTCCATACAACCAAGGATATATTTTATGTAAATAAAGCACAATCATCAAAGTAAAGAAACTAATATTAATGCCTTTTTAACATCTAACCCTCAGTGGGTCAGTCAGCTTTCCATTTCCATAACTAAAACCTGAGCTAATCTCAACTTAAAAGAAGAAAAGCTTTATTGTGGTTCACAGTCTAAAGAGGTTTTAGTTCATGGTTGGTTGGGCTGTGGCAAGAAAGCATATCATGGTGGGGATCATGAGGCAGAGGTAGTTGCTCACGTCATAGTGGCTGGGAGACACAGGAAAAAAGCGAGAGACTAGAGACCTGTGTTCCACTGTCATCTTTGAGGGCATGCTTCCAGTGACCTAAGACCATTCAGTAGGACCCAGCTTTTAAACTTTCTACCACCTCCCACTAACACCAAACTGAGGACCAAACCTCTAACACATTGACCATTAGGGGACATTCCAGATTCTTTCAAGTTTTTCCAGTTGTCCCTATAGCATCCTTTATAGGACTCATAGATAGACTCTGTTCAGAACTGCATTACATTTCTTGTGACCTATCTTTATTCTCCTTCACTCTAGAGCAGGCCTTCCATCTTTCCTTGACTTCTATGACCTTGACAGTTTTAAAGATTATTTTGTGACATGTCCCCTCAACTTGATGTTTTCTCATTATTAGATTCATGTAATGCAGCTTTTTGTCAAGAAAATAAAAAGGATGCTGTCCTTTTGTCATTTCATCTTGTTAAATGGAACATAAATCTTATTTATGCCATTGTGATGATGTTCAAATTAATCAGTTGATTAATGTGATGTCTGTAAGGCTATTCTATTATAAATTACTCACTTTCCTTTCCTAATTAATTAGTATTTTGTGGGAAAGTACTTGGAAATTATGTAAATATTCTTTTCCTCATTAAAATTTCAATTTGTTCAACATTTAGATACATAAGTATAGACTTGTGATTTTCTATTTTATTTCCTTACTGGCTTTATTATTATGAAGACCTAATTTTCCAAGAGTTGAACAGAGGGCACCCATTCAAGCTGGGTTTTGTGTCCTTTTGGTATGTTCTCATTCTTTGAGCACTTCCTTGACTTTTGGCATTAAAAGATGTTACATTTCTTGTTGCTTTTCTGCCTGAGCCCTGAAGACAGCCATTTACCAAGGAACTCTGGTTCTCTCAGTGCTAATATCCGGATACCAGCTGTACCCATGGTTATTAGGGTTGTGTTAGCTTAAGCTGTTATAACAAAATGCCACAGACTGGGTGTTTAAGCCACAGACGCTTAACTTCATACAGTTCTGGAGGCTAGGAAGTCTGATATTGGACTGCATGATTCTGTTCCTGGTGAGAATTCTCTTCCAAGTTTTTAGATAGCCAGTTACCTTCCCATTGTAGGTGTACATGGAGAGAGGGTGGATATTCTCTGGTGTCTCTTCTTATAAGAGCACTATAATGGGGGCTGTTACCTCACAACCTCATCTGAACCTAATTACCTCCCAAATACTCTACCTCCAAATACCATCACCTCAGGGCTGGCCAACATACAAAGTGGGGAGGGGGCACATTTAGTCCATAGCAATGCTAGAGTGAGGATATATATCTATATAAAAAAAGATAAAGAGCAAAATATGTCTATACACATTTATAGATATTTATTGCACACTTTACAGATATTTTTAATCTATCTATAGATGCTGAAAACCAGGAGTCCATACCAATACCTCCAATTCCAATCCCAAACTACAATTCATCCTAGATTCTTCTTTTTGAATATTTATAACTCCCTTCTCCAACAGTGAGAAACCCAGATCCTATTGCCACAGGTATTATTTTCTTGTTTGATCTGTATCCCTGGGGTAATGAGGTATTCATCTCTGCCTGTCTCCTCCCGGTGTGGATATCCTTCTCAAGCTCTGATACCTCATGCTAGGCACCCCTCCCCTCAAACTCTGCACATCCTTTCTTACAGCACTAGAACTTGACCTCCTCACTACCACCACCACCCACATTAGATACCTTCCCTCTCTCTTTGGACTCTGTCCATGCAAGGCTTCCCCCTGCATAGAATTCCTCCTTGCTCTGTTTGGCTCTGACTCATCATATCATAACTCCATCACTCCACCTATGGTCACCCTCCTCACCTTCCTTGGGCTCTGACAATACTTCTTTGTGTGCAAGAGGCAATCATATTTACATGTAAGTCCACCTGAAGGCTTTGCTTTGGACACATTAATCCTACTAGAATCTGGGTGGGAAAAAAAAAAACACTTATTGGTGCAAAGAGTGACTTGACAAGAAAAGAAAAGGGCACTTTTACATCTAATCTCATTTTGCTTTTTTCTCAGAATAAATTGCTGTGCAGCTTGGCCCCAGAGATCTAAATTATAGATGACCTCGAACATCAGACTAAGGCATTTGCTCTTTATTTGAAGTAAAAAAATAGAGACAATATTTTAATGAGTTTGAACAGGGAAAACAATCATAGTGTTGTGAAGAAAACTTTAGTTTCTAATGACCAAATTGAAAAACATCATGAATAGGTTGTACATTAACCATTTTTTTTTTTTTAGGATGGAGAGTAGAAAGTTAACAAATTTAGTCACAAAAACTGTTTTATAGTTGAAATTTTGCTAAGCTGGTTTAATGGTGAGTAGTATATTTATGTTATTTGGATAAATCTGCCTTGATATTATTCCCTGACTTGTTACTGTCTTGCCATTGACCACAGAAATCAATGTTTATGTTGCTTATATTTATAACAAGTAAGGTATCATAAAATGTAGTGCATATCTAGAATAACTGACTTCATTTAAGTAAGAAAAATGTATGCTTTTCAAAATTCTTTTTCACATTTAAAGGAAAGACTATTAAATATTTGGGCATTTGATGTTTTTAACAGGATAAAGGCATGAAGATTCTATTTAGTAAGTTTTACGTGTATAGGAGACTCTTCACATTCAAAATGAAGCAGAGCCCATCCCTTATGTGTACTAGGTTGGACAAAGAATAGTAAATCATGAAAATATGGCAAGACAAAGGGTGTGTGGAAAAGGGACAGTTAATTGTGGAAAGGTAATGGGAAGATCAAGGTTACTCTAAGGTTTGTAGGATTTCTCTTAACCATCTCTGGTGAGTGTCTTTCTCCTGGCATAAGAAGGGAACCTTTCATGTGGAAGTTATATATCCTACTTTCAAGAATAAAAAGAAAGGTCAGGGGGCGCTGGGGGTATAGCTCAGTGGTAGAGTATTTGCCTGGCATGCCTCAGGTATTCTTGCAGTTGCTTTTTTACAAGTGTCTTTAAGTAAAAAATAATCAATGTGCCAAAGCAGCATATCTTGGGGTGGTATACTTGATTCTCTACAAATTCAACATGTAGCCATAAAGACCTACCATTTTACCTTCCAAATATACCTTCATGTTCCTTCCTGCTTCTCATCTTTCCTTTCTCTAAAACTCTCTCTCTACCTTGCTCCCCTCAGATTTTACATCACCCTTAAAGTATAGCCCAAGCTCTTTAACTCCTCTTACAAAGGCCTTGAAGGTCTGGACCCCACCTCCTTGTTCCATCTCATGTCACCCATCTCCCCTTTACCCTGTGCATTCTGGTCGTGTGGAACTTCTTGACCCGTTCTCTTGCTTCTGAGGCTGTGCATGTGCTGCTCTCTCCGTGTGCAATTGATTTTGGAGAAACACCTTCAGCACTGCTTAATTACTATGGAAACTAAGGTATAATGAGACTCTTATTTTCAATACACAGACTGGAGGGATCTGCCCACATGCTCTTTCAACTAGGTCAATAGTGCTTGACATCAACTGACTGCAGGCATCAGAGCCCTCGTGGCCTCAGGTGTCAGGTCCCAAGTTCACTGGGCAGATCCAGAGCAGGGTAACATGGAAAACAAGGAGAGAGAAGATAATCATGCAGACAGAAGGCAGAGATCACTGGAAGGGTGAGAAAGGTCCACAGGGGAGCATGAGAAAGGAAATGAAGGAGTAGAAATGGAGAGAAAGAGGGGGGGAAGAAAAGCAGTTGAGAGGAAATGTAAAGATAAGGTTACTGAAAAGTGAGATTGATTATCAGAGGAAATATGGAAATAGACAATGAATGTTTCAGAAGAAACAAAAACCTCTTACGTATAAGAATTTGAAGGCATGGAGATATTTTATTGCTTAAAATTTACAAGGCTGGCTTTAAAGAAAACCTCTCTGACCTCTGACCCATGGTCAGGTCTGAGGAGACTATGCTTTGGTTTGTCCACATGCTTAAGTCCACAGCCTCCCATCAATGCTAAGGGAACATCCTCTGGTGAAGCAAATCAAAAGTGAACTTTGGGACTGCATCGTAGTTTGTGGCTATCTTAACTTACATAAGAAATAGGGGGGAAAGCCTTAGATCACATTGCCTTGAGTTTATATAACATTGTTAAAGACTTCTCTGAGGTAGATAGGAGATCTGTAGGTTTTTAGCCCCCATTTTACAAAAACGTAAAGTGTAAAGAAAAAAAAAACAGGGATTAAATTGTATACAAATAAAGTCTAGAATGGGAATGTTTTGGCTTAGTTGTCATGTCTTTAATCAGGTGCAACAAAACTAAGCTAATTCCACACGAGAATGACAAAAATGTTTCAGTTGGTCCACATTCAATGTGGCCAAATAAAACCACATTTCAGACTTATTCCCCTGAGTGCAAAACTAAGAACTATGCTCTGGTTTCACTTTTAGTCCTATTTCTCTTCATTTGAAGATTTCCCTTCAGATTTGAAGACTGCCACTGTCTTCTGATATCATTATTTTCACTCACAAGCTTTGGCTGATGGAGTATTGGTTCCACAGGTAAGTGACATGCAAGAGCTGCAGGGCAGGGCCTTCTTCTCCTGTGGCCACCACAAGGGGAATCCTAAGAGCACTTCGTGGATCTTACAATCACTTGTCTTTTTGTGACATCATAAAGTTCAGTACTAGCAAAGTGTGGGTTAAGGTACTTAGTACTGTGGGAGGGAGAAATGGGCAGGAGCAGGCCCATTTCTTGCCCTCAGGGCACTTAGTATGGCTTGTAAAAAATGTCTGCTCTTCCTTTTTCAAACTTGCCTTTCTCTGGCTTCTCTGTCCTCCAGTTAATATTATTTTTCTGGTTTCTGTTTTTTTACACTGTCATATTATGTTCTCATTATTCTTTCAATGTTGGACTAAATAAACCCTAGGGTATTGCAAATCTGTATTTCCCTCAGAAAAGAATGTGCTCTTCATTAATGCCAATGATTTAATATTCCATTGGCTTTCACAACACAATAAGCAAGACTTTCTTAGGTAAATTTGTTTTTACAAGGCATTTAAAGTAAATTCTGTGGGTTTATTGCCCAACATGAAGTAAAACTTTCCCCAGAAATACAGCAGGGTTCACAGAATCCTCCGCATTCACTGAGCCTTGGGGCCAAACATGACAACATAGGAGGAACAGGACTCTTGAGTAGTGGGTGTGACCAAAATACAAATAACATTTGATTTTCCAAACTGACAAAGTATTGGAAATCAAAACTGTGATCAAATAAGATTATATGTGAGAGGCATGCTTAAGAGTCGCCACGAACTATGTGTTTTTCCGAAGCCACTGAGCTATCCTGGCACTTTGCTTTTTGTTTTTCAGATTTTCATTCTTTATTGTCTGTAATTTGGCATGAACTGTGATCCTCTGGTGCTCCTCCAACATGTTACTGAAAAACTGCTGCAGCTGGAAGGACAGAGAGACAAGCCAATCAGTGCAGTCTAACTTTTCACTTACACAATATAAAACAAAGCTCATACCAAATGGCAACATGATTCTGCAAAAGGGTAATAAGAGTAGGAATAAGCAGGAATGTGTATACCTAGATAATGTGTCCCTGGGGAGACTGGTGACTGAGACAAATGTGGTGAAGACCATGCTTACCCAGAAAAGTCAAATGCAGATTAGAAGGTTCACGAAACACATCCTAAGCCTCCATAAATATTTACTGAATGTTATATAAGTTTTGTGGACAGAGATACAGTGAGACTCTTTTGTATCTCAAAGGAAATTTTACAATTTCCAAAGTTCAAAACAGGTGTATACCACAAATTTTATTTTTTATTTTTTAATATTTTAGTCAAATTAACAGTTTGCAGATGGCATGATTATATATTTATAAAATACTGAATAACCAACAAAAACATATTAGAACTAATAAAACATTCAGTGAAGTTGCAAGATATAAAACCAAAAAACAAAATTCAATAGCATTTCTAAACGTGAATAGTAAATTATCTGGGGAAAAAGAAAAGCAGAAAAACAACCTTATTTCTGGTAGCTACCAAATAACTAAAATAAATTTAGTCAAAGAGGTGAAAGAACCTTACAATAAAAACTAGAAAACACTGATGAAAGAAAATGAAGAGGGCACAAAGGAAATGGAAAGACTTCCAGTGTTCATGGCCTGGAAGAATCAATTTGGATAAACTGTCCATACTCCTGAAAGCAATCTACAGATTCAATGTAATCCTTATGAAAATACCAATGAGATTCTTCATAGAACCAGAAAAACAATTCTAAAATTTGTATAGGACCATACATACACACACAAACACACCTGAATAGCCAAAACAATCTTGAGTTTTTTTAAAGAAAGCAAGAGGCATTGATTGCACTACCTAATTTCAAAATATATTAGCAAAGTTATAGTAACTAAAACAGTATGGTATTGACATAAAAACAGATATATCGGGGCTAAGGTTGTGGTTCGGTGGTAGAGTGCTTGCCTAGCATGTGTGAGGCACAGAGTTTGATTTATTTACAACTAAAAAACTATTGAAAAAGGAAAACAGACATATCAACCAGTGGAACAGAATAGAGAGGCTAGAAGTAAACCCACACACATTTATAGCCAACTGAACTTTGACAATAGTGCTAAGAACATGCATTGGAGAAAGGTCAGTCATATCAGTAAATAATACTGGGAAAATGAAGAAGCACACACAGAAGAATGAAGCTACATGATGTTTTAATAACAAAGAAATAATAATGGGGGCTGGGGCTGGGTCTCAGTAATAGAGCCACTCACCTGGCACACATGAGGTGCTGGGTTCAATCCTCAGCACTACATAAAAATAAAATAAAGGTATTGTGTTCACCTACAACTAAAAATATGTATATATTTTTTAAAAAAGAAATAATGATGGAGTAGATAAGGAGGAGGAAGATAGGTATGTCCTGATTTGAACATTACATAACATACATGCATTAAAACATTAAAGAGTTACTCTATAAATATGTGTAATTTTATTTATTAGTTTAAAAAAGTTTTAAGAACAATATTTTGACAGTTAAGTCATCTTTTGGCTAAATTGTCTCATTGGATCAGGCCTAGAACTTAGTTACTGGATAGTATAATATTTGCCACAATATTATATGTAAGTCAGACCACAACAGAATGTGATATTCTGAAAGTCTATTTCTGTGTCAGTGAGTTAGAACTCAGAACACATATCACCATAAGATGATAGTGTACCCATACCTGCTCATAAAACCCACTTAAACCTTGATGCACTTGAGATTGAGTAGTAATCAGGCTATCAAGTTTAATTACTGTGTATGAAAAAGTTCTAGTGGAAAAGAGATTAAGGATCTAGGAACTAGCTTTTCACTCTTTCCTTCCCTGCCCACACCTGCCAGGAAGTGGGAGCCACATGTCCACAGCTCCACACCACAGGTGGCATGCTGATGATTAGGCTATTGCAGTGTTGGGAGGGTTGGGGACCTGCAGGACCATAGATGGATTCCATATGTGCTTAAGAGCATGTGTAAGGCCAGGCTTCTTGCAGAGTGGAGCATTATGACCAGGCCAGAAGTGTGAGGGTGTATGGAAGCTGTGTGGGTGAGTAGGGACAAGGGACTCAGATGACTTCTTTTTCACTTTCCTTTTTAGTAATTATTCAGTTATTATCGTGTGAACTGACTAATATGTTCTGGTAGGACTGTTGGACACTAATACTTTGACAAAGATATCCATCATAACTAATTTTCAGAATTGCAATAATAACTACTGCTAAATAAATTTTTGTGTATATTCCCAAAACTATAGTAACTATAGTTTTGGAAGTTCGAGGACTGCTAAATTTATACCAACTTTATTCATTCATTTATTAAACAGCACCACAAATTTACTGGTTTCTGTAAAGCCAAAGATGAACTAATATGCATTGGAATATACAAACAAAATCTCAGTCTTGATCCTGGAACCTTCATTCCCAG